GGGTTCAATTCCAGGGGGGCATGCAAAATTTTTTTAAAAAACTTAAAAAAAAAAAAAAAAAAAAAAAAAAAAAAAAAAAAAAAAACCTCTTTTCCTGGGGACCCCAGGATTTGAACCAGGGTCCCCTGGCCTGGCAGCCAGCTAGCTAACCACCAGACCACAGGCCTCTTGATAGATGAGATTTCGGAACTTATATTTAAAGGTTAGGATTGTGCAATTTCAAAAAAGGTCAGAGGGCACATTCACATATATTTAAATAACAAAACAGAAATTTCAATATGTTAATAGAAGAACACATGTACACAAAATATTCAGACCTTGCATGTATTTCAGTATATTTTAGGTCAAACATTAACCATGTAATTGCAAACCTTTTCATATTTACACTTCCAAATATTCAGTTTTATATCATGTACGTGTCACTAAAAATTCAACTGTGTTGGTTGAAACTTGAACACATAACTTCGAGAAAGATTCTGCTAGAATTGACACGTCAGGTCCTCTGTATTTTTTAATTTTATAGAGAATATTTTCGGTATCTTGCTATAAACATATAAATTTGTCAGCTTATCTGGATGAGTGGGGGCACTACTTCTGTGATGTAAATCAGGGAATTCAGGCAGCATTCAGTTCTTTCCATTTATGCGATTAAGGCAGTGTTGAGTTATTTTTTTCACTTTAATCTTTCCATTACCATTATGTAATGTAGTAGGCTTCATGTAATGGTAATAGCGCTCTCTATGGTTGGTCAGCATTTTATGGCAGAGCCTCTGATGGAGCAGACACAACGGAAATTCCTCCAGCCAGGATTGCCAGGAGAAGCCAATCAAAGTCATCAAGTTTTGTCAATTTTATTCCAGTGTTAACCCAGAAGTTGCCGGGTTATTTTATACCATCTCACAGCTGAGATCTTGGCCGTCCCAAGCCTGATTTTTTTCAACAATCAGCGTGCATGTAAAACACTCCTTATGCGTAAAGACCAGTAAATGAAGTCCCGGCATAGACAACAGTGATAAATACCCCCATTTTTAAAAATATGCCAAAAATACAAGTTTCTCGGGGGTTCAAAACACACGGCAAATTGAAGCTCATCTCTTCATCTTTTCTTTCCCTTCCAATTTTTTGTGGCTTATCCTGTGACTTTTTGAGATATTTTTATCCACAAAAGATCACCCCTAAAAAACAGTCGTGAAGCCTGCAGCCATTTTGAAAACAGATGCCTACACTCTATAATATAAAATAGACCACTTTAGGGCACTGATTTCATCCAAAATTCACTTGGACACAAGATGACATTCCTGTGGCTAGCCTTCACCTTTCTTCCCCTACAAATCTCCAAGTTCATGGTCCACAAAATGTTCAAATAACAGAGAATTTGACAGCCTACAGATTGTGATTTGGCCAGCACAGGCAATTTTGAGCTTATTTACTGGCCTGCAACCTGTAGACACCCTACTTTTGGCTATTTCACCCCCACATACCTCTATTACAAGAGGAAGACTACTTGAACCAAATTCCATTTACAAAAACAAAAAAACAGATTGTCACAGGTCAGAAGTAGGCCTGAATGTCAAGGGTACTATCAACATCCTTGTGCTTTGTCTGCATGCACTCTGGCACTTGTGGTGTTCCCCTTTCCCACATACATGTATCATGCAGTCTAAAATCTCCTCATGCATTTGGCTTTTGTCTCCACTCTGATAAGTAGGGTTAGAAATTGTCATTGAGGGTTAGAAATGCCTGTGAGGGTTGGGATTACTCAAATAGGGTTGAGCACAGACTGTTTGTTTTCTTTCTGGGGGGTATATGGAGATAGGGAAGGTTGAAGTGGGAATTGTTTATGCATGCTCACAGATTCCTTGTTTAACAAAACAGACACTCCAAAGACTTGCTTTGATTGCTTTCAGTTTGTGGTAAGTTTACAACATGACTATCACAACACCATGGTAACAGGTGTCCCATATGATGTACAATTTACCAGGACTAAAGGTCCTCTAGTAAAACAAGTCATTCCTCATTCCAAGTACACCTGGCCTTGGAAATGCCATACTACTGGACTTAAAGTCCCCTGCAGGGTCATGACATACATTGTCTTACAGTTACATCTGACTAGGGTTTAATTACTTACAGTACCTGCCCCCATAACCTCTTCAGAGGGAAGCAAAGGAAATGGAACTTACATATAAATTCTACAGAGCCCCTTCAAGTTTATTCACTTGTACTTAAAACACACCTCGGATTACAAATCTGTTAGTGTTAGCTGCCTCATGTAACGTTGACCTGTTGTATTATAGTAAAGGGGAAAAATCTAATTTATCCCATCTACTGTTGGAACATGGGACGGTCTGGGTGTGGAATACACAAGAAGAAGATGACGTTTTTCAGAAAGGCAACAACTAGTCACCTCAAAAACACATTCCTCAAAATTGTCACCTCAAAACGGGGTCCCCAACAGTTTACATCAGGCCAACATATGAGCAGCGGGAACTGGCAGTCACCAAAGATGAGCAGGGATACTTCTGTGAAACTCCCACAGATGCACCAACCAGGTCAGTCATGTTACTTCCACCCAAACGCCATGAAACAACCCCCACTGAAGAACTGTAGCATCACCGCCAGCGGGACGGCCACCAGCAAGACCATCAGCTGCAAAGACAAAGGGAAACATACTGTTTTGTTAACCTTGACGAAGCAGTCAACTTGGGAAAACAGGCCAGAGATTTAGGTGTATCGAAGATGTTAGCGTGCAAAAGGTGTAGATTCCACACCGGAAAAAAAAATTTACATCGACATAACATATACCAGGACGGGGAGGCGGATTGCAACCCCAACATGGCTTTGCAAGTTTGTCTGAAACAACACCAGCACTGCAGCTGCAGGTGCTCAGAGGCTCCTTTCTGTGATGGATACCACCGTTCCAGCAAAATCTGGGTTATATAATCTCTCCAACAGATGCAGAACAATCATCACAGCTGAAAACAAGAGAGACAAGAGTGAGAAAAGAAGAACTACAAAAGACAGTCACTAGCGACACGGCCATGACAGGGAGAGTGCCGTGACAGTATAATAACCCCCTCATCAGGAGTGCTCGTAAGAAAACACTTTTTGTGACAGCAATACAAACAAGAAGTCTTGCGTGCGAAAATGTGACCACTAAGAAATTTATTGTAACGTATAATCATTAAAATAAGCTCTGTAAAAAAATGTGAAATAGGCAGGTGCACAGACAGACACTGGGAAATGCACAGAAACTTGTTCCTGAGCCACTTTCAACATGGGGGATGAACATGAAGGGGGAAGTCAATATGCCAAGAAACTGGCAAACTGTAAAGATCCTCAAACAGGGTTACGGCTGATGCTGATGGATGCTTAGCAAGTGGTTTAAAGTCCTACATGCAAAGTGACGCAGGTATGGATATTGAATATTTATACTGTACTTGACCCCCCTCTCTTAAACAGATCTCTGTGCGCGGCCATCAGCTAGTCCGGACATGTTCCCCAGACCAATGAAAGCTACAAAGACCAAACTGCAGGACCGTTTTGCCGATAACCTCAGTCAAAGATCGCAGGCTGAAGCTGTGGCCCTTCAAAAAAAGTTCAGAGGTGACCCCTCTAAGAAGGTTGACATGGCTGTGAATGCAGCCAAAGCCATGATTTAGTGCTATATGGGAAACCAAACTCTTTGTAAAAAGTGGTCCCTCAGTTTGTGGGGGTCGTACACACTGTATCAGTTCCCATACCTGCCAGCAGATGCCTGGGGGAGAATATTTCAGCAAATGATGAAGTAACAATTGTAAATTTGCTCTGTAAAAGAATTGGCTGTGAAGCATTAGAAAAAACAAGTATGAAAGAAGTACTCAAAAATCAGAAAGCATGTGTGAGCAATAAAACACGATCGACACACATCAGAGTGCGGTGGCATTTGGACTTTAACAGAGTGCAAATTGTATGGCAATAGAAAAAAAACAATCAGTCACTAGGGGTGCCTTAACCACTAGCCGCTGGGGTTTCCAGTCCCGGACATGTAATATACACGTAATACCGGACATGTAATACACACATGTTTATACATGTGGCCGGGGTTTCCGAAATCGGACAAAGGGAACTGGGGCTTGTAACAAAAGACCGTACTCAGAACAAAAGACCAGGCTGCTGGGCATTACCAACATTTTTTCACTCTCAACAGTGGAGATAATCCAACCTTGTTTTGAAATAGTACACCATGGCTTGGGGATTTAGCATGAGCGGATTACCACCGGGGACAAAAGCACTCCACCACCGCAGGATGAGCTACACACTACCGCTGCACACTAATCTGGCCCCTATGGAAAAGAGGTCAGCAGCGCACTGTGCCAGTTTCGGGAACAAAAGAAAATTCCGTAACACCGCAAATCTGGGCTAACAAGGCAACAGGCCTGGCTGAAATACTCCAGCGTCAATGGATATTGTCTGTCAGATTATAGTAGAAACCAGACAGTCCTTCATGTGGGTGTAAGTGTCCAGTAAATGAAGACAGGAATTTTTAAAGAATTTTGAAAACAGAAAAAAATGATAATTATCCCACCCCAGCATCATCAACCTTTTCATTTGATGTATCAGACCAATCTGCCAGGACCTTATCACTTGGTCTAGCAGTCAGATCTTAACACCCTACTAGTGGCAGATCAAGTAAATGTCCATCCAGAATATTTGATCGACGTTACTCGCTTAAACCCAAACCCGTCAGCGGGCTGTACTACATAGACATTACCATTAGGATCTGGCCTGCCAATAACCTTACACGACGTTGGCTGCCATATATCCTGAATTTTGTTTCCTCCTTATACACCACGAATCCTTAGAAACACCCTTCTCCCCAGAGGAAGCTTAGTGTCACCCGCTTTAACATTGTAGCATTGGGTTCGAGCAAGAGCTTCTGCCTCTGCTCGAGTACCTGCTAGATCCCAGGCGTGCTGAAGGTGGGCTTGGTGGCCTGCCACCCGTTCATCAATTCCATACCCATCAGAGTGATCACTGATGTTGCTTAGAAAATGATCATCAGGCAGCTTTGGGTCCCTCCAAAACATAAAATAGAATGGGGGATAGCCAGTCGAGGAATGTAAGGTTGCATTGTATTGCATTGAAACGTTGATGATGCATTGTAAACCATTCACATTGGCCGTTTCCTTCTGGATGGTAGCTCCTTGTCCTAGACTTGTCTACCCTATACAAGCTGCATAGCTCCTTGACCAGAGCACTCTCAAAATTGCACCCCTGATCACTATGGATTCTGGCGGGAGGACCAAAATGAGTGAACCATTCTTTGACCAGAACGGGTACCACTGTTTTTGCAGTTCGGTCTCGGGTAAGAACTGCCTTCATGAACTTGGTGAAAACATCTGTCATTACCAAGACATTCTCTTACCCGTCAGTGGCCTTTTCCAAGACTGTGCAGCTAAAACATCAAGAGACCTAGCCACTAATAAACTTCCCATCATCGGTTTCACCTTAGGTCTTGGAGCCTTTGCAAGGGTGCATCGTTCAAAGGATCGACACCAAGTATCCATGTCCCTTACCATCTTTGGCCGATAACAGTGAGCTTTAACTAGTGCTAAAGTCCACTCCATCCCCTGATGACCAGCATGATCATGTAATTCTTGAAGGACCTGATCACAGAACACCTCTGGAAGTAGCAGCTGCTTGACTCTCTGGCCCTCTCCTTGATCACCTGATACAACACACCTTGTTTTTCCTCTATGAGTGTCCAAAACTTTAGGAGCTTCCTGACAGCCTTTGGTGCCTGAGCTACCTGCCTCCTAGACGGGGAACTTCCCGTCTGCCTAAACCATGTCCTGTCCTGCGATCAACGGCAGTGTACTTGTGGCTTCCATTGAGCATAAGTGCACCGACTTTTGTTCACACCTTCCACCATCAAACCCTTCACAGCCTTTGATAAGCTACCTTAGCATAAGTTGACAGCATACACTCCTGAATGGCCACCTGAGTAGCTTCCACCCCAACAGCACTACTTCCATGCGTAGCCTTCCTAATCAGTGCATCTGCACGGCCGTTCTTACGGCCTGCTCTGAATTTCACTTCAAAGTCAAACTGAGCTAACTGCGCAGCCCAGCATGTCTCAGTCGGCCTTAGTTTTGCTGTTTTCAGGTAGCTAACGGATTGCTATGCGTGAACACTACAAACTTCGATCCTTGGAGATCCTTGGACTTGGAGTCCCTAAAGTTTTCAGCAACAGCCCACTTCAAGGCAAGCAGCTTCAGCTTAAAGGAGGTATAGTTAGCATCATTTCTCTCAGTGGGCTTCGGGCACCTGCTAGCATAGCTAATGACCACTCGCCCATTCTCCTGATCTTGATAGAGGACAGAGCCAAGCCCACTGAAGCTGGCATCTGTTTCAACAATGAAAGACTTTGAGAAATCTGAAAAACCAAGAATGGGGGCAGACATCAGACACTCCTTCAACTTCTGAAAGGCACCTTTACAGCTGGAGTCCTAGCGTTGAATGAAGGGCACACTTGGAGGAGGTTTGGGTTTGGCCCCTTTGCGGTGCTTTGGAGATGATTTCCTCATAAGTGCGTGAAATGGGGAAGCTATCTGAGCAAAACCTAGAACAAACCGCCTGTAGTAGCTTGCTAGGCCCATAAAAGACCGAAGCTCATGCTCGTCCCGTGGTTTTCTCCATTCCTTGATTGCTCGCACCTTCTCTGGATCTGCACCTACTCCAGCCTCTGACACCACGTGAGCTAAAATTATTACTTGCCTCCAAAACCAGTGACACTTGCTTGGTTTGATCTTCAAACCAAAACTAGAGAGCCTTCCAAGAACCATATCCAGCCTCTCAATCATCTCTTCTATGCTTTTAGATATGACTAGCACATCGTCCAGATAGAGTAACAAAGTCTGGTAGTTTTGATCCTGCAAACAGGCCTCCATTAGACGTTGGAAGCTGGCTGGGGCATTACACAGCCCAAAGGGCATCCAGGTAAATTCATACAACCCTCCTCTAACAACCCAAAATGCTGTCTTGTGCATGTCGCCCTCCTCCGTTGCGCATTGCAGATAGCCTGATGCAAGATCAAGAGAGCTGAAATAACGAGAACCATGCATTGCCTCCAAGGCTTCCTTGATTCGTGGGAGTGGGTATGCATCAGGAAGAATCTTAGCATTAAGCTATCTGTAACTGACACATAGCATCAGACATCCATCCTTCTCCCTGACCAGTACCAAGGCATATGTGTATGGACTACTGCTTGGCCGAATTATACCCTTGTCGAGCCATTTCTTGATGTGTTCTCTCTCACCTCTGGCTGTAACTGAGGTGGCATGTGCCAATGAGGCAGTCTCACAGGGGTCTTGTCGATCAAGGGTATGATATGCATCACTTTGAAACAAAACCCAAGGTCACTATCATGCAGACTAAAAGCCTGAATATGCTTTTCTAGCACATTTTTGAGCTGAGACAACTGCTTCTCCGTGAACTGAGCTTGGTTTCCAATGTCAAGAGTATCAAGAAGCCTGTCCACACTGGTCTGACTCTCTACACATGCATGGACTTCACGTACGATCTTCTCTGTCACTCACTTGAGTCACCCCCTGGCCTCCGTCTTTCTAATAACCTCACACATGACCCCAATACAAGCCCTAGGCTGTAGCAAAGCATCCTCCCCTCCCATATGTTTATAGCACGCATAGGTACACAACCATCAACCAGCCTAGAGAAGGAAAGTATTACAAATACATCTCGAGGAACTGACCCTCGAGATGAGTCAACCTGTTAAATGAGAGCATGGTATGCCACCTGATGATGCTAGCCAGTACCCATTACTACCGCCATAGATCTGGATGGAATCCGAATTGGTCTTTCATTAGCTGTCCTGACTAAAACCAATTATCCCCCTATCTCTGTTTTTCACACATCCATCACTATTAGATACCTCAACCTGTTGGAGTGGTGCCGAATACAACTGCACAACTAT